TCCACTGAAAATTTGCATATTCTAAAAGTTTTTTAGTTCAGAAGATGATAAGGAATAACTTTTTTCATCAAAATCATATTACATGTAGGTAAGACATGATTCAAATGCAATCTTACTACGCAAATTACTGACGATTATTTCAACTGATTGTTCTTCAACTACAATTATTTATCAATGAACTGATTTTTTGAACCGTTATCATGAAGCAATTCTTGCATCTTGTAATAACAGAGAAAGTGAACTTACAACGAAAGTGAGTACTTTCTCCTACGCTGGTTAGTTCTAGATTTTTGCCCTGTAGAAAATGAGAGTTGTGAAGTACGAAAGAGTTTGGTAAAGCGTCACAGAAATGACGCCGTTGTCGTCGGGACGTCGTTCGCATTCGACGTATTTGTCTCGTTACGGAAAAGCTTTCACGTTCGCGTCGTGTTGTAGCAAAACTTCCCCTTTCCTAGCGGCTCTATTCAGCGAAAACATCGGGCTGAAGTCTTCGCTTGCGTATTTCTACGCTTGTTTCCGAAACTATTCAAGAACTGTATTATGCTAAACACATCCTTTTCAAACATAGTTCCGGTTTAACGTTCAACAAACGCTCGCGTACTTAATGAATGTATGGTATACATGTATTATACAAAACATCACAAGTTCTATGTAGTAACGTTCGAACTACCTGCATGATAACAAATGCTTTTACATACCATTATCACCGATCGTAATAAACAATTAAACACCTGATACAACACGTAAGAATAGTTTAATAATTTATTTTATATATACTTACCCACATGCATACATATACATTGTTTGGAATAAGTATAAGGTCTTTTTAATTTTTTTTATTAGAGATCATTAAATTCTTGGTTAGTAATTTATTGAAATTAACTAAGTCTCATCAGCACATCATGGGGAGATCGCCGACAAAGCTGAAGTTGCTCCGTAAAAGAAAGTTTAGATATTTGTTATTGTTAATGTATTATTTTTTTAATGCAGCTACAAAATCAGGAACAAAAACAGCCGTATGACCATATTATGAAGAAATTCTACATAAAATAAAGAAAATCTTTTTCATTTTCACAACTCAATTATAATATTTTAATAACAATACATACTAGGAAAATCCAAAATTAGCATATGTAAACTCTTGTTTATATTCATAAAAATGAAGAAAAGTAATAAACCCATGGTAGATTATGTAGATGGGATCACCATCAGATTCGGATGATTGTAAGCTTTGTAGGTACTACTATCACCAAGAGCGATGAGTTATTCATTTTGACCACCACCAACATAATCCGAAGCTGTTTCTATTGTTCTAAAAACGATTTAATCTTCAATCGCGAACGATTGCCAGCATCCAAACTGGAGCTCAACTCAATATTTCAAACGAATATTTTACCTTTCAACTTCCTTTCTCAGTTTCCCTGGAGTAAAACTGATTTTTGATTACTTAATTATACCTACTACCTATGTACACGTGTTAGGATTTGTACTTCTATTTACAAGTTTATTTATGTATATTTTTCTATTACAGTTGACAATTGGAAGTCCCCGTTGCCGTGTCCGCTCCCTTCTAAAATTTTAGTTTCGATTCCCCCAAAAGAAGAGTATTATGTCAAAAAAATCGGCGAATTGTAATTGTGGTAAGTATAATAACTTTTGAGATTTTCTCTTGTCCTGGTTCTATTCCTTCATGTACAGTCTCAATCAAGATTTTGACACCCTCAATCTAGTCATGATCCCAAATATATCGCGGATTGCTTAAAAAAAATGTGTATGTAAATATACAAAAACATGTTCAAGATTCGTGAAGTTTTGATGTCCTGATGTTGTATATCATCAAAAATTAACCCCAGTATTACGCATTTGCTCCCTTCCGTGCAGGCCCCTGAGACAAGGTTGTAGGAGCCATTAATTAGACGTTTCATCTAACTCAATTAAGTTGGGACTATGTTTGTTTTACACGTACATACACGAAACTTATTTTGTTAATGTCAAGATTTACATTTATACGTCTAAAGTAAATTTGATAGTAAATATCTGCTCTATGTCGTCTGACAGAATCCTATATATTCCACGATGATTTCTCTTTCAAAGAACCAAAAGTGCAATGAAAAATATCCAAAACTTATTAGATCGTCAATAAAATTCGTTTTATAATTTATAGAATATAAGAATTATAAAAAAATATTGGTATGCAAGGGAAGAAAAAGTAGGGAAAGACAGAATAAAAAGATAAGAGACGAAAGATTAGAAGTGGTTGAGTTTAGGTATCTAAGAAGTCACATAAGTCAGGACGGAAGGAGTAGTAAGGATATAAAACAGAGGATAGCGCAGAGTCAAGTCGCCTTCAATAAAAAGACGTCACTTCTATACTCGCGAAAATTTAGAAATTCGAAAAAGATTATTAAAGGTGTATGTTTGGAGCGCAAATGATGAGGATACCTTCGATAGAAAAGGTTAGAATTGAAGAGATATTAGAAAGAATAAGAAAACAAAGAACTCTATGAAAGTTAATAAAAAAGGAGTGAAGGTACGTGTACAACCAGTCTTATAATTGACAACCTTATGATGATGATGAATTTATAGAATCAGAACACAATAACTAAACTATCATTTTCATAATAATAAGGTCGTCATTCCACAAACTGGTTGAACATGCACTTTCACTATTTCCTATCCTGAGCTAATTTTTGCATTTTCCTAAAACTAGAACATCTCACATTCTTAACTATTTGCGAACAGTAATCTACTCCTCTTAACTTCTGTTTCTGCCTCTAATATGCCTCTGACAAGCCCTTCATGCCTGAGAAGATGTTCTACCAACCTATCTCGCCTATATCTTATTGACTTCCATAGACTCTGTTCTGCTATTCTTTCTGCTACGTCTTAATTTCAAACCTTCTCTATCTTCATCATTCGCCTGTTACACCACATTTCGAACGTTTCTAACCTTGTCTTTGCACCGCGCCCACCGTCCATGTTTCACACCCGTACAGCGCCGTGCTCCAAGCATACCCCTTAAACAATCTTTTTCGAATTTCTAAATTAACCATTTGCAAAATTGCATCTAAGTACCTCAACTCATCTCACCTCACTGTCACCTCAGTTCTCTTGGAGTTATAGCCATACATATCTAATATACAATTTTGTAAAGATAAATTTACTTACAGTTTACGAAATTTTCGAAAGTGTTGAACATTTTAGACTATTTCAAATACTTCTGCTACTATTACAAAGCACCAAAATATCGTCGACAACAGTTTTCCTATTTTTAGTTTACAAATTTTCTAAACCTTGAATGTTGCAGATTTTAGACTATTTCAAAAACTTCTGCTACTATTAAAAAGCACCAAAATATCGTCGACAACAGTTTTCCTATTTTTTATTTCCAAATTTACTCTCTCAGAAACTTTCAAACTTCAAGATATTAGCGAATATTAAGGAACTATGTTAGCAGCAGAAAGTATTCAACCGAATTATTGACGACAGCAACAAACTTCCTTCCAAATTTTAAAAGACTCAGAAACTCTCAAAGCTTTGATTAAAATAACTAAAGATAGAAAATTGTGTGCTTTTTTTAAGTATTATACATAAACAAAAATAATACAAATGAGAATTATATGAATTTGAGACATCAGAAAAGCCGAAGTCTTTACAGGACGATGTTAACACACGAAAAAATACATAACGGCTTTCGTATAAAGTAACGCCCGGTAAAATTTGAATAACGTCAAGAGGTGTTAAATGCCAAATGACCTTTTCGACATTTTCAATATTTTTAGGTTGTTTTAAAATACTTCCTCTACAAACTTTTATTGTTATAGTATAATATTAAAGAGACCCATCTCGATATACCACAAACTCTTTTAATAACGGACACGTGTTTCGCCCACTTTTATTGTGGGCATTATCAACGCGAGACTGGTTCTAAAGTTTTGCAAATTGTAATTTATGCTTAAATTAAATTTTCAAGTTTACTGAAAATGGGATGTTCCCAAAGAATTATTAACCAATCTAGTAAACTTCGAACATCCAGGGGGGGAAGTGACTCGAATGTAATGGTAAGAGAAGAAATGAATATGAAAACGTGACTATATTGTATACCAATAAGAAATCAAAACCAAACAGGGGCAAAAAGGTTTATTGTAGTAAAACTAACACAGACGTTTCGCCTCTGATTTGAGACTTTATCAAGGGAGGTTTGTAAGTGTCACCGTATATTGCTAACAAACCGTCAAAGAGGATGGTACATGAGTCCCCAAAAACTTAGTAGCACAAAATAATAAATATAATAAATAAAAGCATGTACAAATACAATAATAAACAAATAGATAGTTAAAAACAGTTCTAACAACCACGTGCTAAACTGGGACAGAAGATGTGTAAAACAATGTGTCCTGCCAGCAATACATGGTGACCCTTGAAAAACTACCTTGAGAAAGACACAAACCATAGGCGAAACGTCGGGTTGATTTTAGTACAATAAAACTTTTTGCTCCTGTTTGGCTCTGATTTCTTATTATTATTATCATCAAAAAACGAAGAGGAAGAAATGGGACACTATATTGAATACCGCTACAAAAAGTTCAAAAAATAAACATTATCATTTGTTTAGATTACATTTCATGCTTCAACATTACCATAAAAGCATATGTACCAATGAGGAAACGTGAATACGTTCAATAAGTATGGTAAAATTCTAAAAACCTTTGATTGTAGATTGAAACAGTTCTCTTAGAATATGCGTCTTATCACAGTAAGCAGTATGTTATCATTGCGCTCACTATACCTACCTTTTTAGTGAAATTTGACCTATAACGAGAATTTTAATAACTGTGATAATTTATTACGTTAAGCAGAGTACAGATAATTTCCTTTCATATTATATCTGGAAATATNCATAAAATGTGTTTAATAAATGCAGGTGTTGTGTAGATTTATTATCTAATGCAATTTTCAACATTATCTCGACATATCGTAGAAACATATTTTGGACGTACCCCAGCGCTTCGCCCCTTTCCCCTTCCTCGTCTAGATTCTCCACGCACGAATCCGTCCTCTCCGTACAGCTAAAACAAAATAAAAAATAAAATAAATAAAACCGAAAAAATAAAAAACTCGAAACAAACAAAAAAATAAAAAACACTACCCACCACCGAGGGAAAATGATAAGAATGGTAAACTACAACTGCCAAGTATAAAGAACGATATGTTACATTTCTATATTCTGTAAACTAAGATAGAGATAGAATTTTTAGTGTTAGTATATAAGAAAGCGGTTAGTATATAAGTGAAAATGTTATTTAATTAAGACAGACCTATAAGACTGAGTTACGCTGCTTCTATAAGTCTCGTTAGTATTATCTTTTTCCACCATAGCCTTATGATTCTAAGCAATCAAATAAACGCATTTTTGGGTTAAAGTTTGATTAGCAGTCATGTTTCTTTCAATGACTTTATGGGTTACATTTCGGCAAGTACCCTCAACCTGGGCCCTGTCTAAAAAATAACCGAACCCCGATTAACAAGAGCCTTTTTACCTTATTAACGTACCTGGCTAAGTAAACCTCGATCCGGTTGAGAGAATAACCAGACCTTGATTAATAAAAGCCTGATAAAGCTTTGAGTTCCCTTTTATCATACCTTGTAAAGTGAATGGTAGGGATACATTTCGGCATTCCGACAACCTGGGTCTTTTGGGATGAATAATCGGAGTGAATTTTATTGTCTCGTTCATGTGGACTCCGGTGAAAAACCTAAGCTGCGGACATTAAATTGTTACAGTACCCGCAATGCAGCCCTGGTATCGACTTTGATTTTATTTTATGTCCTTATGCGAAAAAAAGAAAAAGTTCTCAACATGGGCTCAATTGATACAGTATTTGAGAAAGAACTCAAAACTGAGAGAACTCGATTAATGATTGGTCCAAGCGTATGATGAAATGAATTAATCGTCAAGGCGTTACTTTGAAAAACTGTAATATTATATTTATGACCACATAAGTCTTTTCAAACGGCCGTTACTACATTGGTATAGTCTTATTTTTTCAATCTACTGTAATATTTTATTGAAATGAAGGTAAAGGTCTGGATGATGGCCGAAAGATTAGGTCTCCCCCACCATTGTACCATAAAAAGTTCGTGGCGGTCTTACCCCTATAAAACGTTATGGGGGTTCAAAGTTAATAAATATGCCAATTTTTATACATTTCTAGGCATGTAAATATTTATATAGTCATTCTTAAACAATATTCAAAGCTAAACTAATGAAAAATACATAAAAATATTGAGAAAGTTATATAACACATTATTTAAATATCATTATCCATAGGGTAGGTTAGGTTAGGTTAGGTTATCGGGTTTTGTTCAAGTGACCACCCTTTTTCGATCCCCCACCTCCACCCTCTTGAAAATAATTCTTTTATTAAATTTTATTTGAATTACAGTGTATAAAGATTGTCAAAATAATCAACTTTCAACCCCCATAACATTTTATG